CTGGCTCTATCAGACATGAGGGAAGCTTCTCACAGCTTCTCACAGAAGCCACCCCCTTGTTAGCCCACCTGCTACCAAAACCTTGCCACGCAAACCCACAACATGGTCCTTCTTGTAGAAGGGCATCATATTGGCAAGACTCTAGTCATCTGGGATGTCCCCTGTTAACCAGGACTACTGATAGATGATGGAGAGTGGCTTGGCAGTTGGCTTGGGTGGATCCCATCAGGTCCCATAGACTTGTGAGTGTCCAGGTGGTGTAGCTGGTTGTTAACTGCTTCCTCCTGAATTATGGTGGGTTTATTCTGCTCTCCGTCCCTGTCTTCCAGCTCAGGGGGATGAATACCCTGGGAATACCTGGTATGACTACTAAAGACTGAGGCAAAGAAGGCATTGAGTATCTTAGCCTTTTTCTCATCCCCAATGAAAATGTTCCCCGGTCCGCATCCAATAAGGGAGGGAGATTCTCCTTGGCTTTCTTTTTGTTGTTAATACATTTGTGGAAACATTTTTTGTTATTGCTTACAGCAGTGGCCAGCCTGAGTTCTAGCTGGGCTTTTGTCTTTCTCATCTTCTCTCTGCGTGATCTAACAAGATCCCTGTACTCTTCCTGAGTTGCCTGCCCTTTTTTTCCTAAGTCCCAGCAAAAGCTCCCTGTTCAGCCAGGCTGGTCGTCTACCCCTCCGGTTCATCTTACACCACATGGGGACAGCCTGCTCCTGTGCCTTGAAGATTTTATGCTTGAAGAATGGTCAGTCTTCCTAGACTCCTTTGCTCTTCAGGACTGTCACCCAAAGGACTGTCTCAATCAGCTTCCTGAACAGGCCAAAGTCTGGCCTCCGGAAGTCTGTGGTAGAGGTTTTGCTGAACCCCCTCCTTACTTCACCAAGAATCGGCAACTCTATCATTTCATGGTTGCTAAGCCCAACACAGCCTCTGACCACCACATCTCCCACCAGTCCTTCTCTGTTTGTAAATAGCAGGTCAAGTGAGGCACCTCCCCTGGTAGGCTCACTTACCAGCTCTGTCACAGAATCACAGAATAGTAGGGGTTGGAAGGGACCTCTGTGGGTCATCTAGTCCAACCCTCCTGCCGAAGCAGGGTCACCCACCG